CCGTGCTACTTTTGCAACTTTCTATAATTATTTCTAAATTTTTTTTTTTAAAAAGAAATACACCCTATCATTTTGGAGCACCCACCAGATGAAGATGACAAATGACAAAAAACTTTAAGAGATTCCAGTATGCCTCCCTTACTGGATCAAATTGAAACTTCTTTCCTGACCAGTGAACTATGACATTTGCTTTAACTATCTAGCAGAAGTATGTGAATTCATTTCTCTCTATCCAGAGTACAAACTTTTAATTTTAAATTAGTATAGCCCACCCAAATTCCTGCTTCTTATAATAAACTCCCCAAACTTTTCTCTTCCAGTAACTACTCAGTGAATTCGTTTACTGGTCTATGTCCCATTCTTTGGCAACTACTCAAGGCTCACTATATTGACCACTGCAGTGACGTTTGCATATTCTTTATCATCACAAAAGATCTGAAGCATCTGACAGCCCTCATGGCTGTCTAAACAAATAGGACTTATAGTTCCAGGTGCAAAGCTGGGTACAGGGTTTGGGGAGAATTGTTTATGGATGACAGAGAGTGAAATGAAGGAAGAGCCCAAGGACAGTGCACAGGGGAAAGCCCTCAAAAAAGTGAAGCCAAGAGGGCTGGACAGAGAAGCAAAAACCAAAGAAGGATGTGGCAAAGGAAAGAAACTGCAGCCAATCAGAGCAGAGCTAGCCAGAATGCTTGGGGGAGACAGAGCCTGGAGGAATTCCCCAAGTGGATGGAAGAAGAGTGAGCCTTTTTGGATGCTTTTAATAATTACAATAATCATTGTTATTATTTACTGGGCATTTATTTTGTGTCAGGCACTGTGATAAGTCCTTTTTCAACCTTATAATAATTTTACAAAGTAGGTACATCTTATCTTCATTTTGTAAATTAGAAAACCAAGACTCCAAAGGGTTAAATAACTTGTCCAAGATTTTGTATGTGATAAGTGGTAGAAGGTGTTCAAAGTCAGTGTGGTCTGATTCCCAAGCCAATGGTCTTATCTACTACGTTCAACCTTACTCTCCTCTCCCCAGTTCAATATCTATCATCTATATCTACAACTATGACTACCTATACCTGTATCATCTGTATCTCTACCCATACTGAACACAAAATAGTGAAAACATAAGCTAAAAACCAGGACCCCATGTGACATATGAATAGGAATAAAACTAAAGAAAAGATATATAGGCTGTCATGTTCAGTGCAATCATAACAATTGGGGGCTTCACGTGTGGCTTTGAGCTTCCTAGTGTTAAAGCAAAAAAGGGAAATATGGTCACTTTCAAAGTGAACATCATCTACTTGGGGCAATAAGCTAAGAAGTGTTCATTTTGGAATGTTTCATGGAAAAAGTGATTTTCTGCAGCATCTTTAAGGAAAGGAAGATGCAGTTTTGTGGAGAGTAAATGTTCCTCATCAGTGATCCTCAAACAGAAGTGTCTACCGTCCTGGAACATTTAACAGAGGCTTTCACATTATATCCCTGCTGACTATGGATCCATGTCCTGGGGGCTGTGGCCCTCTGTCGAGAACTCTGCCAGGGTGCACTGCGTTGTTAATGAGAGTGTACACACTCAGGGGACTGTATAAATGAGTCTCTCGGGTGTGTTGGAAGGAGAAAATGGCTAAGAACACCTGTTTTAGATAAATGGAGAGAAATGAGTCATTTATTCATTCATGTACTCTAAAAATACTCGGTATATCCCATTGCAAAAGTAATAAGGGATAGAAAAATGAAACATGTGTCGTGTTGGGGAGAATGGGTGAGAATTAGGCACCACAGCATGTCAGGCATTGTTTTAGGAGCTTTACGTATATTATTTCATCTAATCTCCACCCTGATGTGGTGAAGTAGAACTAGTGTTCGTTTCACAGGTCAGGAGGCTGGAGCTCAGAGAGATTAATTAACATGTCCAAGGTAATATAACTATGAAGTGCCAGCATGGAATGAAACTCAGGCACTCCCATATCTAACCCAGCTTACTTCCACTCTCCATTTTCAGGGCCATCCTCTTCTTGAACAACTCTAGGGGGCACTATTCCCATTGAAGTCCATGTAAACAGTGCTCCTGGAGCACAACTGGGGAAGGAAATCAAAATGGCTTTGATTAAAACCCACTCTCTCAAGGAGCTTATGGCCCAATTGTGGGATGAAGACCAGTGTGTGCATATTCTGAAAAATGATATAAAATGCCAAAAGAGGAAAACAGAGGATGGAGGGAATAATTCTGCTGGGACTAGGGGCTGGCATCTAGGAAGTTGTAGAAGAATCAGCATTTGAGCCGAGTTGAGAAGGATGGATGAGATTATGGCAGATACTCCTGCACAGGAGAGACATTCCTGAAGGGACAATGGCATGTTCCATAAGGCCTTTCAGGAGCTTGAGATTAGTACAATTTATCTGGAAAAGGTTAGACTTAGATCATGGAGGAATAAATTGAATGTAAGGAACTAAAATGGACAGATCTGAAGTCCAAGCACACACCTTTATTGATATCTTTTCAATTTGCATCCTGTCTCATCTTCTTAGTCAACAAAGAGGAATCCAGGAATGCTTCAGAGAGTGACACTGATGTGTCCATCTACTCTTCCAGTAATTTAAGAACTAAAAAAATGAAAGGGGAATTCTGACAGACGGGGCGGTAGAATTGAGTCTGTGGACCTAATACCCCTTTTTCTTCCTTCCTGCTCCACCTCCACACACTCTTTCCACCTTTGAAACATCAGACCCTCCTTCCCAATGACTGGGCAGTGCCCGCTCAGGGAAAATAAAGGACCTTGTTTTGCGGCTCCAAGAATCCAATTCAGTGAGAATGTGGGCTTGTTTAGCTTACAAGTAAGACCTCTTTCAGATCCTTCCTGGCCTGCTCCCTGACATCCCTACCCCGTAGCTCCTGGATGTATTGAACAGAGAGACATGGATTGGATTTGGGGGCGGGAGTTTGTACACCTGCCACACACAGATCATGGAAGAGAAAGGAGAGTGATCAAAATTACTGCTAGCCCTAGAGATTTGGGGAAATGAAATGTGCTCCATAGAGCAAATCACTGCTTCGGAGGAGATTTCAACTGTGTCCAGAACTTTGTCCCATAGATCTTGTTGCTGTTTCAGAAGAGATCTAGACCATCCTAAAGTTGTGAACTCCGCTCCCACTCTGCCTGCAGGGCTGACGGTGCTGGGTTGCTGCCTGGTCGCCCACCCCCCACCCACTATGACATGCTGCCCCACCCAGCCAGAGAGGACAGGTCCAGCTGCATGTGGAGAACTCAATCAGCAAGGCAATGCCTTTACTGAAAGTTCTGACGTCCAGTTGGAAATCTCTGTTGGGAGCAGAAGAAATCTCAGTGGGGAAGAGAAGGGTGAGCTCCAAAGGCATCATCACAGCCTGGGATGCCTTGTGTGTGAAGACAGAGGAAAGAAAAGGGAAATGCAGAGAGAGTGATGAAAGAAGAAAGAAGTGGGAGAAGAAATTGAAAAGGGAATTAAAACAAAAAAGCTCCAAAGAGAAGAGAAAAGAAGAGAAGATGGAATGTGAAAGGAGAAGAGAGTTTTGGTACTTTACTTTTCTTAGATTGGATTTGGTCCTGAATTTAAGTTTCGTTGTGATGGTTAGGAGATGCCGTGCCTGAGAGCCTGATGTGCATTTCTTCCTTCCAGTGGTTGTATCCTATTGCCCGTGCTGCTCTTTCTGCTGCTCTTTCAGGGGCAGCTCAGCCTGGGATACCTAGAGCTCATTGGAAAGTAGTAATAGACTAATAGAAATCAGGCCACCAACTTTGTGGTAACCTCTGATTCTGTTATCTTTTTTTCTAATTTTTCCTGAAGTTTTGGGTTACAAATAAAATCTCAGCATATTTGTCAATAGACATACATGAGTACCTTTAGTGCTTTACCTGTGACAGAACAAATGCAGGAAAGAAATGGAAAAGGCAGCCAAAGTAGAAAATTTTGAAAACAAAAAGATTTCTGTACTCCAGTTGGATTCATGTATGAGATTTTAAATTAAAATATGATCTGGTGTACTGAATTGTAGCTTGTGAAAAATATTGCCATTGGTCCTAGAGAGTGAGAGAGTATAGAAGGCTTGGGTTTCTTCCTGGCTCTGTGTTGCCTGAACACAATGTTTACTTTTTTATCTGCTCCTTCTAGGGCCAACTATTATGATGGCCATTAGGGACTTTGTTCCCATAACAAATGTTTGTATTAACATTTTAGGAAATCTACAGTGGAAGAAGTTGAACAGAACCCATTGGATGATGCGTAAGTAATGAGAATAATGAAAGAGTTCAGTACGGGAACCACTATGGGAAGAGGCTGGCAATTCTGTAAGGAAGAAGACCTCGATTGTGCAGCACGTCACCCCCTCAAGTCTGAGGGGTCTTCCTAGGGAGAAGGAACTTTGGTTTCAGTTCTCTGTACCTCATCAGACTGATGCAGGGGGTGTCGAAAATCAGTCTTATTTGGGGAAAAGACTATTTCCCTTTGTGCCCCCCACCCAGCCCATGCACCTCCCTGACTGGGTTAGAAGATTTTCAAGTTTGTACAAAAGGACACTGAAGAAGTTCCTCTCCCTTGCATGTGTCACTTAGATTCTTCATGCTTCATATAAAATTTTTGAAAACTAGTATGTTAGAGTATAAGTATTCATATGAAAAAATGTTTCTTTTGCTTCATAAAAGGTACATGCATTAGCAGGTTTCACTTTCACTATTTAAAATTAAAATGTGATTCGACCCCAGGAATTTACGCAAAACACTGTAGAAATCAATTTATCATGGAAAATAAAGTAGAGCAGGTCAGGCTTATTAACGACCAAAGATGAGGGGATGAATGAGACTACAGGGGAAAGTCTTCTTAAAGCTCTAATGTTTTCCTGAGTTAGGTAATGAAAATGATTTTTCTGTAGGCAAGAGATAATGGAAATACCAACATTAGCAGTCATAAAACAGAACCTTGACTACCTGAACTCAGAACTTGAAAAGGAACTGCAGAGACTGGACGAAGCAAATCTGGTTCTTCTTAGAAAAATTCAAGAGAAAGAAGAAAGCATTCAAAGGTCAGCCTTTGCAATTGGTGAGGGAAGGGCTTCTTCTCACTTGCATGTCCCTTGGGATCCAGAGAAGGTGGGAGGAAATTTCACTTCTTTGAATCTTGACATGTTAGTTACATCCTAAAACATCCATTACAGTTCCCTCGTGTAGTTCATGTATACAGTTTTGCATTAAATTTCCACATTAGGTTGGCATTTTATTGCCACTGCATTTGGTAGTTACTTCAAGTCCCTGAGACTTAGGCAGTAGTTTCTCCAGCTGGGATCCAGGCAGCTTTCTTAGGACTGATCCACACCCAGGTGACTTTATATTTTTCAGTCTGGAAAGAGAGATCACCCTGTCAGTAGGACGAGCCAAAGAGAGGGATGAGTTGAACCATCTCATATCTAAGCAAGAGGAAGCCCTGAGGGATCTGGGATTAGAGACAGCAAAGCTGGTAAGGAGATGTCTAGAAAAGAACCATTGGATGCATTTTACTCCCATTCTGCCTCTCTGTCTTTCCCAAGGGATCATCCCACATCCGTCGCTTCTGTAAGTGTAGAAATCACAGCTGTTTAAGAGAATGCTCTGGGAATGAAGGAACCCAGGAGCTCTGTGCCCGGATCCACTGCCACTGTGTGGGGCCAGTGTGCACTTTTCCCATGTGATACCCTTACCCCTAGACGTTATTTCATGGTGTAGTGGGAGGAAAGGTGTGGAAGCAGAGCAGCTTTGATGAGAGGTGATTTCCTTCTTTCCACAGGAAAAAAGTAATAATATCCTAAGCAGAAATGTGGTGGAGCTTCAGAAGAAGGTAAGAGGGGGTCCCTGCATTTCTGAGGGCCCTGGGATCTTTAAGAACATCATATTCACAAGAAACAGGCTGGTGGGGTGGGCTGGGAGCATGGGGGAAGGGTCCTGGGCACATCTCGATGAGGAAATGCATGTATACACCCATGGATGGGCTGCTGTCCTCACCGCAAATTCCACCCTTGAAACAAGGCTCGTTTCTTAGGAATCCCAATAGAGTTGTCTTCTTCCTGAACTCTTCAGTCAGAAAGACCAGAGAAGGGGCAACCAGCAAAATCTATGTTCTCCCTCCCCTCTGCTGCCTTCCAAATTTTAGAACGGACTCTGACTGATGCCACTGTTTGTTCTCTGGGAATTACAGATGTGGTGAGAGGGCTAAAGGATTGTAGAAGGGAAAAAAGATTTGCCTTCCTTTCCCAACCACTCTGCCCCATTCTCTCTTCCATCTCTCACCATCCTTGTCTCCTCACTGTGCGATAGCTACCATGTACCATGGGAACAAAAAGGTCTGTCGGGCAGCCTTCATCGGGAGTAGGAGATACTTTTCCATCAAGCTGCTATCCGGGACCTGAATTAGTTAACGGCCATTCTGCAGCCTGGGACCCCCAAGTCTGCCACTTTCCCAGGTTTTCATGTCTGTGTGCCTTACTTAGTTCATGATTTTTGGAATGGTGTTTCAGATTTCAAGGAGATTTAAAAATGTTGACCTTGAAAAAGGAGCCCTAAAGCAGATCTTGGCAGAAGTGAAGGTAAGTAGAAAAGCAAACCTAGAGATTTTCTGGTAGATATGTTAATTCCAGGTTCTAGGAGAAATTGCTATCAGGAAGTCCCATAGACTATGTGCTATTATGCCCATGTGCTTATCAGAGGGGAGCATATGTCCTTTATTCCCTGTAATGAATGAGCCAATGTCCTTTACTCCTGTGGCCTGTGGGACATTCAAAACGTTACTAGTTACACTAGAAACAGAGATGACTGCAATGCATCAAAGAGGAAGGAATCACTCCACGGTCCTCATCATCCATCTGAATGGCCATTGGGACCTGCCCTCTGGAAGTTGATGTTCTAAGTGAGGACACACAAATACAGATATTCAAGTAGACAGGGAATATTAAATCCTCCAATTATACAGAGATGTGTCATGATCTTATCTGATTTTCCAACCCCTGGCTTGAAGGCCAAAGAAGTTTTATTTTTTTAATGTATTTTTATTTTATTTTTTTTTCTCTACTAGAAGGAGAATCCACTGAGAACATAAATATTTTCTATGTTGTTCACTTCTGTCTTCCCAGTGTCTAGAACAGTGCTGGGCACATAGTAGATGTCCAATAAATATTTGTTGAATGAATTGGATGCCTAGTAGGAGGCAAAACCTTATTAGGAAGCCTTCTGAAGATTGATGTGGCAAATATGGTGATTCGGCTGAGCCCACCATACAAGAGCTCCATTGTCCTATATTTTTCTCTGAAAAAGAGAAGCGAGGTTTCTCTTTTGTTCCCTGTGTAACTCAGCGGTCATGCCAGTGTGTCTTGTGAAATATGAGTGGGGATAAGAGCTGGGTGAGCTCACTGAATGAGGAGTCAGCCTACTGAGGCTTAAATGTCAGCCCTGCCACTGTGACTTTTAAACAAGTTATGTACTTAACTTCTCCATGCCATTGTCTCATCTATAAAATGATATTAACAGTGCCCACCCTAAATTGTTAAATTGACAAATTTCATATGTCCTCAACACATGACAACTATTATGGTAATGCTCCCTGTTGGTCTGGAGAGGGTGATAATTCCGCATTTGCCTTCCACAAAAGAATGCTATTCACTTTCTGCCATCACTCATTGTCTCCCATAGGTGAGACTACAAAAGTCAACAGAGTCCTGTGCAAAGCAAGAGAAGCAGCTGGTCAAGGTAGAGGCAGTGTGTCTTCTTCCCCTGAGGGTCTGCCCGGGGTACAAACAAGAGAGAAGCCCAGGGGTCTTAGAAACGGACCTGCTTGAGGTGTGGGAGTGGGAGGAGCTGGAACTTCTGACAAATGAACTTCTGATTCTCGTGTGGGTGAAGGGAAAGGAAACTTCTATTAAAAGTACTGCTCTTACCATTTTTACGCTCTCCTCTACCTCCAATACCATTGTTGAATCCCAAAACTAACTGCCTTAAAACATCTCCTCATATTTCACCTGAGAGGAGCATGCCAACCTGGGCAAACACTTTCCTTTGCTCAACCTGAGACAGTGCGTGTGATGGACGGAATGACCTCTTTGTGACGCAGTTGTTTTCCCTTCAAGTAAGCAGTTGCTAGGCAACCAGCCAACTGCCCGATACACCAGATAGGGCTGCAGGGAACAGCCTAGGTTTGGTTCCGAGTTAACTCACGGGGTTTGTTAATATTCTTTCTTTCTAGACAGAGAGTGACTATCAATCCGTATATCAGCTCTGCGAGGACCAGGCCCACTACATAAAGGTACCCCACCTCTGGGGGAAACGTCAGAGTACAGGCAGAATTCCTCCAAGGCCATGAGGTCCTTGATTTCTCATTAGGCTAGAATCTGCCACTGGGGAAAGTGCTTTATATACAACAGCAACAACAACAAAACAGATGTATGTTGAAGATTTACTTTGTACCAGGTACTGTCTAAGCACTCAACATACAGTATTTTTCTCAATCAATTTTTCCAATAACTCTGTGAGGATGACACTGATATGATCTTTCAAAGAGTAAGGGAACATGCTCTGGGGAACAAAGCTAGTAAATGTCAGAGCTGGCATTTCAATACAAGCAGGGTCCCAGGTGAGAACTCCTTTTGTCCCCATTTATCCATTCTGGTCACTAATAGCTCTCAATGTTTTATTAGAACACCTTCCTACTTGTGTGTTCACATTGATTTAGCACGCACCATTTAGAAAACACATAGCAGAATATTTTTATTAATGACGTTGTAATAAAATACGAAAATTCTCATTTATGACAAGTATTTTATTTTATTTCATGGGAAGAAATACCAGCAAATTCTGAGGCATATAGAAAAGGAAAAGGAAGTCCTGCTTCTTGAAAAAGAAATGTAAGTTTGGAAGAATGGCTTCCCCAGTGGACTGAAGCGACAGTCCGGGGCAGTCTTTGAAAGGCAAAGTAATTCTCAGAACAGTGTGAGTCACCACGTAAATGGCCTCCAACAAGTCATCTCTGTCAGCCTCCGCTTCGTGATCTAGACTAAAAAACCACCAGCATCCAGGCCTTTCTCTTGCCTTCCTCTGCAATTGGTGTTTAAAAAGTCTCTTTTTTATGTGCTTTTCATATGTCCTCAGTTGAGTGCCAGTCCTAAAAATTGATTCGAGCTGTGTTCAGACAGGAAGAATTATAATAAAAAGAGGCCCAAAGGTCCAGAAATGTTTCTCCATATGCTTTCCCAGGACATGGTGGACCCGCTAGACTGGCTGGGGGACCCAGTGAAGCTCTTTTATACTCTTTCCATAGACTGTAGGTCTCAGGACTCATCACACTTTCCTTTGGTTTGTTTATAATTTTTAGTTATATTATATAATGCCCACAGAGTGCACGAATCTTAAGTATATGGCTTGGTGAATTTTTACATATGTATATACACATGTTAACACCACTCAGATCAAGACATAGAATATTTTAAGTACCCCAGAAGTCTCCCTGTACCTTCCTGTTAGTCAATACTCCTTGCAAAGGTAACCACTACTCTGATTTCCATCATTTTTTAAATCCATTCTTGAACTTTATATAAGTTCAGTATGCTTTTGTTGTGTCTGGGTTTCACTGAGATTCACCCACATTGCTACATTTGGCTGTGGTTTATTCTTTTTAGTGGCTGTATAGTATTCCATTGTATAAATATGGCATAATGTATCTATTCTGCTCATCAACATTTTCATTATTTCCAATTTGGAGATGTTAAAATAAAGTTGCTACAAGTACTCTTAAACATGTCCTTTGGTGGACATACTCATTTCTCTTAGACATACACCAAGGAGTGGAATAGCTGGATCATGGGGTATATATATATAATAGTATGATTATATATATATATATATATATATATCTTTGGTTTACTAGGTAAGCCAAATAATTTTCAAAAGTGGCTGTATCAATATCTCCTCCCACAAGAAATGTATGAGAGTTCTAGTTATGTCCTCACTTTATTATACTTGGTATTTATAGTCTATAATTTTAGCCGTTTTGGCAGGAAGGGTTCAGTGATATACAATTTTGATTTTAATAATGTATTTCATTACTGATTACTACTGATGTATTGCTTTTCAAATGCTTATTGGAAATTTGGACTTCTCCTTTTGTGACATATCTTTTGCCTACGTTTGGGAGATTGTTAGTCTTTTTCTTATTGATTTTCAGGAGTTCCTTATATATTTTTTAAAAGATCCTTTGTCAAATGTGTGTACCATGATCTATTCTATGGCTTTCTTTTTTTTGCTTTCTTAATGGCATCTTTTGGTAAATAGTAAATAGTTCCTAATTTTAAAAAATCCAATGCATCAAATTTTCCAACTCTTTTTTGCTTAGGCTTTCTTTAGATCATAAAACTACTCTCCTATGATTTCCCTCAGAATTTTTATTGTTTTACGTTTTATACTTAGGTTTACCTGGCATTTATTTTTTTCTGTGGTGTGAGGTAGAGATTAAGATTCATCTTTTTCTATATGGATATCCGATTGGTCCAGCACCATTTATTGAAAAGAACATGCAATGGCAGCGATGCCTTGTTTTATAAGTCAGGTGCCTATGTATCTGTGAGTCTGTTTCTGTGTACTTTACCCTCTGCAATTGTCTATGTCTCTCTATCCTTGTGCCAGTCCTACTCTGTTTTAATTCCTATAGCTTTAAGTCTTGATATAGGGTAGCTTAATTTTTGCAACTTGGTTGCTCTTCCTTGAGCTTATCTTGGCTATTCTTGTCCCCTTGAATTTCCATATACATTTCAAAAATCAGTTTTTCAACTTATGTAAAAGAAAACTTGCTGAGATTTTGATTGGAATTACATGAAATCTATAGATAAATTTGTAAGACACTTAATATTTGTACATCATTTTCCAAATCATGACATTTTTATACCTCCATTCGTTTAGCTCTTTAATTTCTCACAATAATATTTTGTAGTTTTCTGTGTTGTGTTCTTGGTTTTTTTGTTTTGGAGGAGTTTTTTGTTTGTTTGTTTTTTGTTTTGAGACAGAGTCTCACTCTGTCCCCTGGGTAAAGTACATGGCATTAGCTTAGTTCACAGTAACCTCTAACTCTGGAGCTCAAGTGATCCTCTTGCCTCAGCCTCCTGAGTAGCTGGGACTACAGGTGTGCACCAGCAAGCCCCATTAATTTCTTCTATTTTTATTAATAGTAGGTACATGGATCTTGCTCTTGCTCAGGATGGCCTCAACCTCCTGACCTCAAGCAATCCTCCTGCCTCAGCCTCCCAGAGTGCTAGGATTATAGGTGTGAGCCACCGTGCCTGACCTGTGTGGTGTTCTTGTACATCTTTCATCAGATTTATTCCTAGGTCTTTGATGCTACTGTGAATGGTGTACTTTTTAATTTGATATTCTAATTGATCAACACTAATGTATAGAAATGCAATTGATTTCTATATATTGAACTTGTATGATCAACCTTGCTAAATTCACTTATTCTAATAATTTGTAGATTCTTTAGATTTTCACCTACAAATAAGGACAATTGTATTCTTTCCTTTTCAATCTCTATTTTTTTTCTTGCTTTATTGCATTAGCTATGACTTTTAGTACAATATAGATCAGTGGGATAACAGTGGACATCCCTGACTTTTTACCAAACTCAGAGGGAAAGAGTTTACTATTTCACCATTAAGTGTGCATGGTGTATGGCTTTCTCATAGATATCCTTTATCAGATTAAGACACTTCCTTTATATTTTGAGTTTGCTGAGTGTTTTTAGCACAGCAGGCGTTAAATTTTATTAAATGTTTTTGCCTTATCAATTGAAAAGATCATGTTTTTCCCTTGCAAATATACCAGTCCTCCTTCATGTTTAATAAGCTTTGAACACCAACTTTTGCTCCCAGCACTGCATGACTACTCCAGTCTTTGCTCAACTCTTTTGGCACCTTCTGCTTTCTGGGCTTTCTTGGAATCTTAAGCTATACATGTACAGCTTAGGAGCCAGTTGTGACCCTGAGAGAAGATTCCAGGCAGATATTTGAACTCACTTCTCCATGGTCTTGCATTTTGACATCTGTCTCCTCAGACAAGTGATGCTGCCACTTGCTGCTTGGACTGTATGCCCCTGCACCACCATTTGGCAAATGTCCTGGGGGACAAGGGGAAGGCATGGATGAATGAGGAGCTCATCTCAGTGTGCTTCACTTCACTCGGGGTTTGTATCCCTTTGAACTCTGACTACATTCTCCAGGGCATTAAGACAGCAGTTATACATTTTGTCCAGTTGTTATAGTCGCTTTTGGAGGTGAGCTAGTTTGACACAAGCTACTCCACTGTGGCAAGAACCAGGGGGTCTGGTGCTACTTCTCCCTTTTTTCCTGTATGTGATGATCACAAAAAGAAATTTCCAAGAAAAGGCCGAGTAAGCTTTTGCTGGACCAGACCCTCTGCTGGACCAGACGCTCTGGACCAGCAAATAACTAAGCTCTGGAAAACAAAACAAATGAACAATTGTAAGAAGGCATTGGAGAGTGAATAAAAGCAAGCAGATTCTAGAGCGGGGTCCACATGTGGAGAAAGAGAATGGCAGAAAGTTATTTCCCATTTATATAGCTTCTAGCCTGAAGGAAGGCCAACCTTGGAGTGTAAGAGGCAACTAAAACACTGAGAGAAAACCTGAAGTCTTTCTGGGCTAAAAAAAATAAATAAATAAAGGATAAAGTTTGAGGCAGCAGAAAATACTGGAAAGAAAGTAAAGACCCAGACATGAGGAGTCCCTAATTTTGTGTTTAAACTCTGCCCAAATCTCTGACTGGACCTCCAGGGCAATCTGTGAGCAGCCCAGCTAAGGATATAGGGCCCGGACTGACATTGAAGCTGCCACTAAGAGATAAACTTTGCAGTTTGAATCCAATAGCAGGGTTATGTCAGGCTTAGTCTTCATTGAGTGTCTTCCTCTTCAGAATGAATCACATGTTCCTGGTTCTCTTTGTAAGTTAAGCAATTATGGATGTTGAATGTTGAGCATTGTGAATGTTATCAAGAATCTAGACTATGAAGCATAGATGTTGCATGACTTAGAAAAGCACCTTTCATCAGCCCCTCAGATTATGTTATATAATCCTTGGCTTTGATTTTTTTCTACCTAGATCCAAAGCCCAGAATAACTCTTCTCAAGTAGTGAAACCTGGGTCAATTCTGGTGGAGACCATCCAAAGCAACATGGTAAGTCTTCCCTGTCCCA